AATGTCTGACCTTGCAGTTAGTAACCTCATAACCATAACCTTCTTGAACTCTTTGATATCAGCTCCCCCACCCCCCATACTGGATTCCAGATGCTGATGGGATATCTGCTTTCAGGAGCGATTCTTCTAGTTGGTAGCTAGTCATTGCTTTATCTTCTTTTTTTTTTGGTAAAGTCTTTTCATGAATGAAGTGTAAGAAAATTATTTTAGGTGATCCCATTGACCTGTTGTCTCTTGCTCTCTGTGCCCTTGTCACTCTGTCAGTCCAGTAGGCCTGGCAGCATTGCCTCTGAATTTTCTTCAGATAAGGCTGTGGTTTTTTTTAGTTTGCATATGAAGGAACCCCGATGGTGTGGTGGGTTACACGCTGGGCTGCTAACCTCAAGGCCAGCAGTTCAAAACCACCAGCCACTCCGAGGGGGACAAGATGAGGCTTTCTACTCCTACAAAAGAGTCGCAGTCTTGGAAACCCCCAGCGACATTTCAACCCTGTCGCACAGAACCGTGTTGAGTCTGTCGGCATGGATTCGATGGCAGTGCGTTTGGTTTGGGTTCGGTGTTTACGCAGGTAGTTGTCTAATCCACTTTGAACTTGTTTTTGTGCATGATGTGAGGCCCAGGCCCTGTTTCATTCTTTCCTGCCTGTGGGAACCCAGTTTCCCCAACAGAATCGAATTAGCATTCTATCCCATTGGTCAATGTGCCTAATAGCATACCACTAACAGGCTGTTCTGATAACTGATTAAAATCAGGTAGTGTGAGTCCTCCTCCTTTGTACTTCTTGCTCACCCTTTCTGTAGCTACTCAGGACCTCTTGCTGTTCCAAATAAAGTTTGAAGATTATTTTTTCTACTTCTGTGAAGGAGGCTGTTGGAATTTTGATTGCGATTGCATTGATGCTATAGATCACTTTGGGTTGTATAACATCTTAACAATATTAAGTCTTCCTATCCATGACCACGGAACCTCGTTCCATTTACTTAACTCTTCTTTCATCTCTTGCAGCAGTGTATTTAACATATTGTGTGTGTGTGTGTGTGTATTTCACATCTCACATTCGATTTCGTCCTAGGTATTTTATTCTCTTAGATGCTGTTGTCAATGAAACTCTTTCCCTAACTTCCCTATCAGCTGTCTCACTGTTGCTGTGTGGAAAGCCCAACTGAGTGTTGCTTGTTGACCTCATACCCTGAAACTTTGCCAAATTCCCCTATTAGCTCTCTAAGTTTCTTGTCGATGCTGAATTTGTCTATGTATAGGGCTATGTCATTAACAAATAGAAATAAACTTCCAATCTGGCTATCTTTTCTTTCTTTCTTCTTTTGATTTTTGTCTCTTAGCTCTGGCTAAGAGGTCTAAGACAATGTTGAATAAAGGTGGTGAGAGCAGGCATCCTTACATCTTGCCCCAAATTATAAGGAGGAAGCCCTTGATCTCTCCCCATTGAGTATAATATTGACTCTTGGCTTTTCACCTTGTTCCTGCATGTCACTGAGCAAGTTCCCTTCTGTTCCACTCATCGTTATGGTTTTCATCAAGAAATGGTGTTGGAGATCAGCAAATGCCTTCTCTGGGTCAGGGAAAATGATCGGTCTGGTGTGTGTCCTTTGACCTGTGGATGGAATCTACTGTGTTGACTGTTCGCAGCACTGAACCATCCCTAGCTTTCTGGAAAACTGTTCTTTTTTGTGCGATGTCTTTGACCACTCTGGGGATCAGGGTTATGTTTCCTTTGTCAAATGAATGAGAGAGCATTCCACTCCTTCATGCTCCATCTTTTTTTTTTAATGTATAAGAGTTTTATATAAAGGGCAAGTGTGCATTAAGAAAGCATCCCAACCAGTGCTATCCAAGCCCATAAGTCCAACATTAGCCCATATCTCCAACACCAATCCACAAAGTCCTCCTCCATCTCACAAAACAGGTGCAATGATGCCGACTGCAGGAGGAAAGCCGAGTCAGTGAGTGTGTAAGCATCTCAGCGCTGGCAGGGGTCTCCACACAGGTGCTCCAGCACCCAGGGCTGCATCAGGGTAGGT